ATATATATATATCTGATGCTCTACTTTACGGCTTAATGTAACCAGATACCACGCGGAAAGTGAGAGCAGCGTAAAGTGAATAACATAACATATGGGATTAATTGAAATAGAGTCGGGCCGACCCCCAAACTCCACTTTTGACGACCACAACTTTATTGTAGTAAATTTATCTTAACTTTATGATGGTATGAAAAAACAAGTAATATAGAAGAGGTTAGCGGCTTGGGCTGGCTGTGGTGGGGTTGCGGCTAAGAAATCTGCTGGCGTTTTGCTGACGGCTGGCGCGATGTTGTCGCGATACACCTTTTGATGTACGGCTCCATAGCCTGCACCAGCCGGGTATGGAAGACTTCATAGCGTGTCATCGCCATTGTCGCGAAAGGAAGGACTTCATCTTCTGCACACTCTGATGGCACCCTTAATATCACTGACGAATTGTGTTTTTCGGAGACTGACGACCTTCTTCCTCCTCTTCACTGACGGTTCTTCCAACATCTAGTCGGCAGTCACTTCAGGGCCCTGATCACCTCCAGGATGTCGCCGTTGGTGAACTTCGGAGAAGCCTGGAACTGTAACAGTTCGCGCAGCTTCTTCGGTAAGGTCCACTGTTACCGCAAATATTCTGAACCTCACCAGTCACAGATTGACTTCACCCGGTATTCCTGGCGCAACACATGTCTCTCATGCGTGATTTAATTGTAGCACAGACAGTTGATTCCATGACTCACCAAGAAGTCTGCGCTTTTGATGTTAACACTTCCAGAATTGCTCAAGAGCATTTTTGCTGTGCCAACTGTTGATCCTCATCTTCGCCTTGCCATCGGTGGTGTCACCAGGTTACGCGAACTCTTCCTGGTGTTGGGTGTAGTCGCTCAGGAGCTGAATTTGTTGTTGAGAAGTAGCTACATTGCAAATCAACCCTGGTCTATGGGCTGATTAAAGGCGTAGTGTTGGGAGTGAAGGCACATCCACTTTTATTAGTGACGACCAACAGTAGGGGCGTAGTGTTCTGGTGCGTTGTTCAGCAGCAACAAAATATATTAGCCGGGGATATTCTGTCACACAGTACTTTTTTACATCGGAACAAAACAACACAACCAGAGGGACAGTGTAGAGAATATCTATGTTTTACGTGTTAAGCCAAGGCCAGTGGACATTTAGTTGGCTGGGCGTTCCATGCTTTTAGCATGCAAGCTTGCGGGCTGTGATCACCGATAACTGAGCTACAGGTACCGGAGGCATTGGTGTAAACAGGACGGTGATGCTCTTCTGCATTTTCCGCCCCAAATCTCTGTTGGCATTTGCCAAACGGTATTGATCCTGGAAGGTAGTTTTTCAGAAAAAGATCAGATTCGTTCATGTTAAACACCTGTCAAGCGGTGTACTGTCTTCCTCCATAATCTCACGTAAAAAACGGAGGAAATTTTCAGCCAGCAGCACGATCAGCACTGAGCCGCTCACCAATGTTTATTGGTGATCTTGTTCGATTCTTAAACTCTGTAACCACCAGAGTGGAAGCGGCCAGCGGTTTGGGTTTCTGAAGCCCTATCTTCGTGCCACTGCTATGGGCAAGCCCACGCGGCGACCTTAACAGAGGCCGCCGCTGGTTTACCGCCATGTTCGTTGCGTTTCGACGCACTGGCAATTCTCACAAGTAATTTTTCTGTCTGAGAAGCACCTGGTCAGAAAAATATTTGATCATGTAGCTAAATTCCGTAGACTTCAGGATCTTCTATGTGCCTTTATCTTGGCGAATCTCTTCTTATAGTCCGGATCAGACTGTTTCACGCCATGCTGGCGCCAAATCAACCCGGTTTTGTTCTCCAACTCTTGGATGATATACCACCGTATTTAAAGAACGCCGTGGTGGTTCTTTTGGTTTATGTCACGGGTCCAGGTATGAAAGGCTTTCTGGTGGTGACCGCTGAAGCCATTTTACGGAATAACAGATGCGACACGAGGGCCTTTGAGGGGATGAAAACTGCCTGCCAGGCCCGGGACACGTTATAATACTTGCCACCAGCTAGCAGCAGAGGGGGATAGGATGCATGGCCAATCACAGGTTCGATACGCTATGGCGACGCCAGTGATAACAAAGACACACACTGCGCACTTACTACACAAGCAGTTTGAGATATATATATATATATATATATATATATATATATATATATATATATATATATATATATATAAATATATATATATATATAAATATATATATATAAATATATATATATAAATATATATATATATAAATATATATAAATATATATATATATATATAAATATATATATATATATATATAAATATATATATATAAATATATATATATATATATATATATATATATATATATATATATATATATATATATATATATATATATATATATATATATATATATATATATATATATAGGTGCTCTTTGATCATGGATTTCAACAAAAAAGTTGCACCAACTTACTTTCACTTCGCCCGAATGACTTTGGTGACTTCATGAGTTTACTGCCTAATTGTCACTCGACAAACAAAGCCCGAGTGCCAACACACCTTATTACAGAGACCTGACTTGACATACCTACACTACCATCATAATACAGTTTTAACAGGGTATATTTTGTATTCAACTAAGCCTGACCTCTTGCACAGCTTTTGGGTCAACTCCTGCTCTCTCTACAGCTGCTTTTATGGCAACAGCTCCAAGTTCTGGGGCACGCAGGGAAGCCAAGGATGACCTGAAAATGGTTACAATATGTCAAATTTCAAAACAAAACTGACCACAGTTTACTTTCAATGCCTTACTTTTCTTGTGGAATAAAAGGTAATGATGTTAACAGATACATATACACACTCATGAAAAAGTTACACCACATTAACCCTTTTGTCTCGGGTGTCACGTATAGTTGCCGCCGAGTTTTTTCCGTAGACAACGGGTGTCACGTCTATGTGATCTACCGTTTAAATTGCCCGCGCCCGTCTGTTGGTGCAGAAAGTGGTTTCTTGTAGCTGATAATGAGTGTTACCAACTGTGTGGGTTGTTTTTGTCTCCACATTAGTATGTTTCATGATGTCACAGAGAGCAGTACGAGGTTTGGCCTCTGCCACGGAGTTGATGGGGCAAGATAATTACTTTCTTGATCTAATGGATAGTATTGATACTGATTCAGATGCTCTCTCTGATGATAGTGAAAGGGAGCCTTTGAAAGAAGCAAAAGGTAGGGAGCATAATATATCGTGTTCAAGTGGTACTGACAAATATGATCCCCAGCCTGGACCAAGTTCTAAAAGGAAACAGCATGGTAAGCGAAGTTCCTCCTTGGGTAGAAAGAAAAAAATAATCTAACAGTAGCACAGAGCATGCACTGAGAAAGGTTGTTCAATCAGATAGTCAGGGAGATGGTCAGTCCTTTGATAGTAGTCAGCGGGTGGCACAAGGAGCTGTTCGGCAACCCCCTACACTGCTTACACCTACAGCATGTCCCACGCCTGCTCAAGATCTCGCTCGGTGGGTCTGTGACAAATCTCCTTTTACACCTTCTGTTTTTCCATTTGATGCAATTAACTCTGGATTGACAGATGTCTCAAATGAGCTAGATTATTTACTCATGTATCTGGATGAGGAACTTACAGACATAATATATAATAGTGAGAGAATCTAACCGCTATTACCTTCAGATGAAAGAATCTAAGCCAGATTTTTTGGAAAGTAGGCATCAAGTTTGGAAACCAGTTATTTGAGATGACATCTACATGGTTTTGTGTTTACTGATGCTTATGAGTCATGTAAAAGAACACAGAATCAATGACTATTGGACAGTGGATGAGATTTTTGAGACACCGATATTCTCCAAACTCATGTCCCATGAAAGGTTTTTACAAATATTATGGTGCCTGCATTTCACAGATAACAACCAAGTTGACAAAAATGATAGGCTATGCAAAGTAAGGCCAATTCTTGATCACACGCATTTTCTATACCGAAACGTTTCCAGTTAATGTATTCTCCATGTATAATTAGAAAATTATGGGGGCCCCATGTGCATTCAGCTGACTACATTAAAGGTTAAGTGCTCAGTCACACTGTGTCCATTCCTCATTATTTATTACTTTCACTGTACTGTATCCATTCCTCATTATTCATTACTTTTACTGTACTGTATTTCATTGTAGATTATTTATTTAAAAAAAAAAAAAAAAAAAAAAATTTTTATCTGTCGGACTTACGACCTGGATTTGGGTCCCTAACCCCGTCGTAAGTCGGGGTCTATCTGTATAGGGAAATGTTTACTCCATACCAAGACCTTTGTATTGAGGAGAGTTTATTGCTGTGGCATGGTAGACTACCCGGTAGGCTTCCAGCAGTACATACCATCAAAACGTAATAGGCATGGAGTAAAATTGTTTGTATTATGTGATGTAAAAACTGACAACATTCTTGACTTCATTGTGTACACGGGCAAATACAGCCATAGAACGAGACGAGAACCTGGGCCCAGATTCACTAAAGCTGCTCAGATACGAAGTTAGTAAGTTGTGGTAGATCTGAAGTCCATACAAACTCTCGCAAGTGCGATTCACTGAAGGTTCATAACTGAACTCTGATGATCGTACGAACTCTATAAATAATTCTTAAAATGCCGACAGGTGGCGGTGGTGTGTCTCCTCTTGGCCAATCACTGCGACTGAGAATGCATTATAAAAATGGAAAGGTTAGGTTAGGTATGGTAAAGTAAGTTTAGGTTAAGTTAGGCGGACACTCGCCCCACAAGGAGTCACAGCTCAAGGTTGAAGAAGCAGCAGGTCCAGAAAACTGTGAGGGCAAACTTTTTTGGAGTGAGAGTTGTGAACTCTTGGAACAATCTATCAGAGAGTGTTGTGACGGCACCGAGTGTAAACTCTTTCAAGCCCAGACTTGACCAACACTGGAGCAGGTTCAGGTACATTCAGGAGCCAGTGCATGCCCAGTACTTGCCAACAGTGCATAACAGAGACGTGACCAATCACTCAAGCAGCTAACGAGCAGCTCAATTGGTGAAGAGGATAAAAGAAAATGGAAAAAGAAAAGTAGTTGTTGCCCCACTAGGGGTCACAGCCTCAGATTACAGGAGCCACAAGTTCAGAAAATTGTCAAGGTAAACTCTCTTTGGAGTTAAAGATGTGAACTCTTAGAATAACCTGCTAGAAAATATTGTGACGGCCTCAAGTGTGAGCTCATTCGAGACCAGGTACAGATACATTCTGGAGCCAGTACATGCTCGCATTACTAGCTCTTTCAAGACCAGACTTGACAAGCACTGGAGCAGGTTCAGGTACATTTAGGAGCCAGTTCATGCCCAGTACTTACCAACAGTGAGTAACAGAGACGTGACCGGTCGCCCAAGCGGTTAACGAACCGATCAGTGGTGAAGAGGTTAAAAGTAAAATGTACGCTGCAATTGTAGGTTCTTTGTAAATTTTTGTATTGGATGTAAATATTTACTCTTTTTCGTATTTCTTTATATAAGAATTACTGATTTACATATTTTGTTCACAACAAAACATATGAGAGAGAGAGAGAGAGAGAGAGAGAGAGAGAGAGAGAGAGAGAGAGAGAGAGAGACTTACTACTTATGTTGAGTAAGAGTAAAGGAGCCTTATGACGTACTCTCTCTCTCTCTGTACGTGTGTGTGTGTGTGTTATCTCCCCTACCCTCAAGGAGAGGGGTGGTGGCCAACTGTCCTCAGAAGAGCATTGAGTCACAATATGTCTCCAATGCATGTTGTTTATTAATTTTTTCTCTGGTTTTGTTCTATCATACTTGAATAATTATTATGTGAAAATATTATGAAGTAAAAGTTTGATGTACACCTCTTACAGATTCTTTTCATTGCATTTTCGCATTACGGTAACATTCTTTCTTGTATATTTCATTCATTGTAAAATACAAATGCTGATAACCTTGTGATGGAATTATTGCACAATAAAAAAAAAAAATTAAATAACAAAAATAAATGTATTTTTATATAATCTAAATGACTAAAATTACATCAAAGGATGTAGTTTATAATAAAAAGATATATTCAAAGAAATTATGAAACCTAAATAGTAAAATTATGAGGCTAGTCGGAATCTATCTCATATTACGTCTGGCATGCCTGAGAGAGTGAAGCAGCAAAATATGACACCTCAAGGTGGGACATTTAAATTGAATATTTCATATGTTGTGTCATATATCATTTTATTCAGAAAATTTTGCTTGATTATTTGGGAAATTTAGATTACCCAAAAATAATTTTTTCCTGATATTCCTAAAACCCCTGTGTGGGGGGTACCAAACCCCCCCTCCAGGCAAAAGGGTTAAACACATGTACTAAATAACTTTGAACAGAAACTTAAGCTATGGGCAATACTACCGAAACATTATCCTCTTGTGTACTGGGTTGCCCCTTGAGTTGAACAAAATTGTCTGGCATAAGCAGAATAAATAAAATATTAAATGTGACGTCCCCACAGTGAAGGGGTTAAGATAATTTAGACAACTCACCGAAAAGACCCCATGGGGGTGCGAGCAGCACTAACAATGACGACATCATTCAGACCACCTGTGCTATAGTGCCGGGAACCACGCAACGTACTCTGTAAACAAAATATAAAATAGTTAATAATACCAGACTAATTCATTCAGGGACCTGTTCCTTACTGGAAGGATTCCCTTAATAGGTGGATTTCCTTTTCCCCCATGTACAGTATACATAAAATAATACAATAAAAATTTCCTGCATCATTCCCAACCATCAAAATGAACATCTTGTCACACCTGAATACTGTATCAGGAAACTGAACTGCTTGGTCTCAGAGATTCCAAATCCTACCTTTTTGTTGATGCTTAATACCTGTATATACAGTATATATTTTTTTAGCTACTACAGATAGTACCACAATTTTTGTGTTTGTGTTGAGACATTTTAAGAACAATACACTTGGTCAATAGTGGACAATGTTCCTATTACCAGCAGGGGCATAGCTAGTGGGTAATGTAGGGGGCAGTCACCCTGGGAGAGGGGAAAGTCAAATTTGCATTTGATATTTTGTAATTCTTATTCTCTTAATTTACTTATAAGTTTACGTTTGCTGTAAATCAAATGAAAATGCACAACTGCATCGTAGGGACAATATTGTTTTATATTACTAAAACATGCTATTCCTGAAAGGTACTTTAATTTCCAATCACTTTTATATTCTGGTGTGAAAATTTGACAATGTCCAGATACTCAACTTTCCTGGAGATGTTCTCTCTACAATTAGTTTATAACAACTGAGACAATCCTACATGCGCTGTTACATCCTCTAAAAAATTTAGTGATATCTCTGTTAAGCAGAAAAATTGGTGCAGAGCACTTCAGGGAAAGAGAGATTTTCAGGTAACAAGACCACTCTCTCAAAGCCAGAAAAAATCCCTCATCCTGGAATTTTCTGGGTACCTGGATAATTTTTTTTTGGGATAATCCTGAAATTGCACATTAAATCATCTCTTAAACCCAGAAAGAAATCCCCCAACCCCAGAATTTTTCCAGGTACCAGAATTTTCTTGTAATTTTCAAGAATGGTGCATTATTTCATTTCTCAAACCAGGAGAAAAAAATCCCCATATCCGGAATTTTCCGGGTACCGTGAAAAATCAATTGAAATTTTCCAGAAAACGTGCTTCTCTAAAAAAATGTTCCGGAAAATTCTGGCCTTGAGAACGATTTTCTGAGAAAAATTCAATTCCAACTATCAGAGTTCCGATCAAGAAGTATTCCGGCTAACGAAGATACAGTGATCCCTGGGTTAACGAACGCCTCGGTTAATGAAATTTCGGTTAATGAATTACCTTCCATAAGAATCTTCAATTCGGTTAACGAAAAAAATTTGGTTAACGAAATTTTTACGAAATCGTGTCAACATGCTTTCGCCGGTCCGACTAATTACCCAAATGTACCCAAATATAGCCGGAATGAAGTCAAATAATGGTCCTACATGAATAAATCGGACTGCTAATCACTTCTCGACTAGTATTTGGTATCAGAAAGTCAAAAAAAATTGGTAAACTTACTTTAATCTGAGTTAATAGATCACGTGCATGTACCGACGGAGCGAGGAATTACCCAAATGTACCCAAATGTAGCCGGAATGAAGTCAAATGATGGTCGTACAAGCGTAATTCGGGCTGTGAATCACTTCTCGATTATTATTTGGTGTCATAAAGTAAAAAATAATTGGTAAACTTAATTTAATCTGAGTTGTGTTGTGTTAGGTTAGGTTAGGTTAGGTTAGGTTAGGTTAGGTACATGCACTTGATCTATTAACTCAGATTAAATTAAGTTTACCAATTTTTTGTGACTTTGTGACACCAAATACTAGTCGAGAAGTGATTGGCAGTCCGATTTATTCATGTAGGACCATTATTTGACTTCATTCCGGCTATATTTGGGTACATTTGGGTAATTAGTCGGACCCTAGTGATAATGGTAAAAAAAAATCCGAAATACCAAATGGGATAAAAACGAAAATGAACTAAGAAGTCTTATTGACTTTAGGTACAACAAAATAGCCATTTCGGCCAAATTCTGAGATTTTAACGGATGTTACATAGGAAATAATTTTTCACTTTATAGAGCCAACACAGCCGGGTATTTATTAGTGATCAATGTCATCCTCCACTTCTTAACAAAAATCACTATATAAGTACCCATAGTTACGTCTAAATTAGTGTCTAACTAAACACAACCTTCTAAATAAACATAAATCAAGTTTCACCTGAGCAAAAAGTCTTGTTAACGCCATCTCGCCTCAGCCGTTCAGCATATACTGTAGGCTAGCAGAAGACTATCTCACCAAGGAATATCTCCCACTCCAAAGGAATATCAAGGAAGATACCTTCCTTGTAACCAAAGACTATATAAAAGGTCAGAAAACCAAGGCGAAAACCGCGTAAGCCACATTGCATATAGTTGGCGGCGGGATAAACAGATAGCGGTAGTGTGCAAGGCGCGGCCGCTGGTCGTCTGTTGTTGGTTTACACCAAGACCATGAGATGAGTGGGCGTCACATTCAGGTAAAGTTTAATAATTATTCTTATTTTTTCTCATTTATAAATGCAATTTGCAAAACCTAAAATGTAACAGAGATCAATAATATGCAAGTATCATATAAGGATAGTACTATACATAGCATTTCATGCATTCTTATAAAGTCTTGGATCCATTTTTTAACATGAAATAATTGCATGTATGTTCCTGTAGCAGATGGCATTGATGATCTGTCTGTAAGTGTGATTCAATTCGCGGTATTTTTGGTCCAATCAAATTCGATTTTTATTTTGGGTCATATTTTGAAATTCAAATTCATTTCCGACCATGGAAGTCTGCGATGGGTGTCACTTTGTAGGGGTATCGAGATATTAATGTTGTCTAGCACTCAGGATGGAAGGAAACTCTAATGTGGTTTTCTTGTATAATATATAAGTTATATGAAGACAGTCTGGTGCTGGAGATGCAGGAAGATGGGCAGAATGAGAGTTGGTTGGTGAGGAAGCTCAGAGGACAGCTGGTGGGTCGCCATGCTCGCTGGCGGGAGCGAGGTCCGCCAGGCTGGCGAGGAGAAGCGAAGGGCAGCCAGGCAGCGGCGGAGGAGGAGGTGTTGCTAGTTCAAGAAGAATGGTCAGAATGAATCTCAATGGAGAGACAGAGCTTATATACCCAGCAGCCGCTATGAGTCATGTTGGGAAAACCCGAGAAGTCGCCGGCCTTTTGGCTCGGTTGCTAGGATACGGCGGGCATTGGAATGCCGATACGCTTGGTTGCTAGGGAAGACGGTAGTAGGTGGTGGGCTGCTACGCAGTTTGTAGGGGAGACGTCCACTACAATACTCCCCCTTCCCTCCAGGCGGTGTAGGAGACTTGTTGATTGTAGAGTTGCTTAGCACATGTGAGGAAGACCGGGCGGTGCATGCCTCATGTGAGACAACGGCGATGGCGTGATGAGCCGGTCGCTGAAATACAACTGTCTAGATACACACTATCTGTGGGAGAAGGGAGAAAAAGGGTGTGTGGAGGCGATGAATGTTGTGCTTCCCTCACGACAGGTACAGGGTCGTCAGATGCGCCTGCTGGGGTGTGTGTGGGCCTGGGTCAGGAGCAGGGGCTGCGTCAGCAGAAGCGGATTAGGGCTCGTAACAGCAGCTGGGTCCACGACAGCAGCAGGGTGCAGGACATTAGCAGGGAGTACCTGAGGGAGAAAAGAGGGGGTGTGGAGGCGATGGATGTTGTGTGCTTCCCTCACGGCAGGTACTGCTGGGCCGGGGTCGGCGTCTGAGGCAGGACGGGTGTGCTGGGGTCGTCAGAATGTGGTGCATGGGGCAGGAAGAGGAGCCGGTGTCTGCTTGAAGACTGGGAGCGTGATCAGTGTCTCCTCCATTCTGTGTGAGTGCTAATCTCCGGGAGTCACCATTTGTAGGGGTATCGAGATATTAATGTTGTCTAGCACTCAGGATGGAAGGAAACTCTAATGTGGTTTTCTTGTATAATATATAAGTTATATGAAGACAGTCTGGTGCTGGAGATGCAGGAAGATGGGCAGAATGAGAGTTGGTTGGTGAGGAAGCTCAGAGGACAGCTGGTGGGTCGCCATGCTCGCTGGCGGGAGCGAGGTCCGCCAGGCAGGCGAGGAGAAGCGAAGGGCTGCCAGGCAGCGGCGGAGGAGGAGGTGTTGCTAGTTCAAGAAGAATGGTCAGAATGAGTCTCAATGGAGAGACAGAGCTTATATACCCAGCAGCCGCTATGAGTCATGTTGGGAAAACCCGAGAAGTCGCCGGCCTTTTGGCTCGGTTGCTAGGATACGGCGGGCATTGGAATGCCGATACGCTTGGTTGCTAGGGAAGACGGTAGCAGGTGGTGGGCTGCTACGCAGTTTGTAGGGGAGACGTCCACTACAACTTCAATTATATGGAGCTGATAGCGAGGTTTTTGGAAAAAAAACGAAGAAACTATAGCATTTTTTCTATCTCATGGTGTTCTCCCGACCTCAGTAATGTGTCCTAAGTGCAAGACCGAATGTAAATATCATTAAGACCAACATATGTGGCATTGTGGTAACTCCAACGATGAACGAGAACCAGGCCAATAAGGTAAGAAATCAGTGATTCCATCATATGGTGAGAGTCAGTTAGGTTAGGTTTATGTTTTTCTAGTGTTTTTTTTTGTATTTTGTATACACTTAAGCATAATTTTTGTCGGAAAATGCCCCATAAAAAAAAACGATAAAAAAAGATTTCCTCGCCGTGCTAAGATGTATAAATACCAAATATAAAATCCTCGTGGCACTTCGTATTTCAGCTATTACAACACAAATTAGCGGAGCCTTCTTTGTGCGTATTTACAGCTGATTCACCAGGCAAGAAGATGATGGTAGCAATACGTGTGATGGAGGGTGCTGGAGGGGGTTTTGAGAATTGCAATTAAATGCCAGGTAGCGACCTGTCCTCATAGTATTAAGTATTTAAGTAATTATTAGATGTGTTAATTGCCTGTATGTTGGCCTGGTGAGTTAATGCTACACATTTACATGCCTAGGTATAAGGCTAGACGTCTTATTCTGAAATGAACAAAAACGGCCAATTTCCGACGGAAATAAAGGTCATAACCGATCTAAACACACACAAATACACTAGAAAAATGTATTCTTTTACTTTCTAACAGAGTTGTGTGCACTTATGCAAATTTACCGATATCACTATCAATACAACTTTTACAAATGAATTGGAGTATGGTATTGTAGTGGACGTCTCCCCTACAACTGCGTAGCCGCATTCCAATGTCACCTGCTACGTCTTCCCTAGCAACCAAACGAGCGGCCCAGGGGGGGGCGTCACCAGATGCCACAGTATCCTAGCAACCAGCCACCAGCTGCTACCGTTCCCTAGCAACGGAGTCAAAAGACCGGCGACTTCCCACGGTCTACTTCCGGCGGCTGTGTATATAAGCTCTGTCTCTCCATTGAGATTCATTCTGGCCTCTCTTCTTGAACACGCAACACCTCCTCCTCCGCCGCTGCCTGGCGGCCCTCGCTTCTCCTCCGCCTGCCTGGCGGTCCTCGCTCCCGCCGGCGAGCATGGCGACCCACCAGCTGTCCTTCTCTGAGCGTCCTCACCAACCAGCTCTCTTATTCTGCTCTCGGTTCCTGAACACGCAACACCTCCTCCAAGCAAGCTCCTCGCTGTCCCGTTCTCATTCAACCTGGAGGCCAGCAACAGGCAACATCTTCTCTAACGAAGCTCCTGCACATCTACCTCCTTCAACACGCTACTCACCGAACGTGTCTACTGAGCAGCTCCTCACCACACGGCATCTCCAGCACCAGACTGTCTACCATATAACTTATATTATATAAGAAAACCACCACCTTAGAGTTTCCATCCATCCTGAGTGCTAGACAACATAATATCACGAAACCCTACAAATGGTGACTCCCGGAGATTCGCACTCACACAGGATGGAGGAGAAACTGATCACGCTCCCAGTCTTCAAGCAGCATGGAAGACTGGCTTATCCACACAGAAGCAGCTCTGCTACTCTAAGCAGACACCAGCTCCTCTTCCTGCCCCAAGCACCACATCCTACCGACCCCAGCACACCCGTCCTGCCTCAGACGCCGACCCCGGCCCAGCAGTAACCCCTGCCGCCCCTGACGCGGCCTCTGTTCCTGAGTGCGGACCCACACACCCCTCTTTTCTCCCTCAGGTACTCCCTGCTAATGTCCTGCACCCTGCTGCTGTCGTGGACCCAGCTGCTGTCACGAGCCCTCATCGCTTCTGCTGACTCAGCCCTTGCTCCTGACCCAGGCCCACACACCCCAGCAGGCGCATCTGACGACCCCAGCACACCCGTCCTGCCTCAGACGCCGACCCCGGCCCAGCAGTAACCCCTGCCGCCCCTGACGCGGCCTCTGTTCCTGAGTGCGGACCCACACACCCCTCTTTTCTCCCTCAGGTACTCCCTGCTAATGTCCTGCACCCTGCTGCTGTCGTGGACCCAGCTGCTGTCACGAGCCCTAATCCGCTTCTGCTGACGCAGCCCCTGCTCCTGACCCAGGCCCACACACCCCAGCAGGCGCATCTGATGACTCTGTACCTGTCATGAGGGAAGCACAACATTCATCGCCTCCACACACCCTTTTTCTCCCTCTCTCCCACAGATAGTGTGTATATAGACAGTTGTATCCAGCGACCGGCTCATCCACGCCATCGCCGTTGTCTCACATGAGGCATGCACAAACCCGTTCTGCCTCACATGTGCTAAGCAACTCTACAGACAACAAGTCTCCTACACCGCCTGGAGGGAAGGGGGAGTATTGTAGTGGACGTCTCTCCTACAACTGCGTAGCCGCATTCCACCTGCTACGTCTTCCCTAGCAACCAAACGAGCGGCCCAGGGGGGGGGGGGGGCGTCACCAGATGCCACAGTATCCTAGCAACCAGCCACCAGCTGCTACCGTTCCCTAGCAACGGAGTCAAAAGACCGGCGACTTCCCACGGTCTACTTCCGGCGGCTGTGTATATAAGCTCTGTCTCTCCATTGAGATTCATTCTGGCCTCTCTTCTTGAACACGCAACACCTCCTCCTCCGCCGCTGCCTGGCGGCCCTCGCTTCTCCTCCGCCTGCCTGGCGGTCCTCGCTCCCGCCGGCGAGCATGGCGACCCACCAGCTGTCCTTCTCTGAGCGTCCTCACCAACCAGCTCTCTTATTCTGCTCTCGGTTCCTGAACACGCAACACCTCCTCCAAGCAAGCTCCTCGCTGTCCCGTTCTCATTCAACCTGGAGGCCAGCAACAGGCAACATCTTCTCTAACGAAGCTCCTGCACATCTACCTCCTTCAACACGCTACTCACCGAACGTGTCTACTGAGCAGC